ATCTTCACATAGTTCCGACTATGGTCAAAATCCTAAGACTTAATCTTTCGTTTAGGGATTAAGTGTCCCAAATCACTCCAAAAACTAAAACAAAACCTCCCGGCATGTCACAATGGCAGAAATAGATATGGGAGAAGAAGTAAATAGGGGATCGGGGCTATTACTCTCAAAACAACCGGCCGGGTCGTTACAACTGCCTCGTAGTCCCAAAGTAAATATGCAAGACAAGGAGATCTCCCAAGTAAACGCCTCGTAGTCCCAAAGTGAATATGTAGTACATGGGGATCTCTCCGAGTAAATACCTCGTAGCCCCAAAGTAAATATGCAGTATAGGGGGATCTCCCGAGTAAATGCCTCATAGTCCCAAAGTAAATATACAGTACAAGGGGATCTCCCGAGGAACCGCCTCGTAGTCCCAAAGTAAATATGCAGCAGATAATCGAATGAAACACGAATTTACAGTAAGAAATCTTAGAGTTAAAGATATAATTCAAATCAAGGGAAATAGGTAATTCAACTAAATATGTTTCACAAATTGCAAGTAAGAGTTAAGGCACGCAGACATGTGATACTAGGCTAAACATGATCACTACATATGCTAAGGCAACTCAGTTAAGGAATTTAAAAGAAGACAACTCAACAAGAACCGAAAATTTTCACAATTAGACCATGTACGCACTCGTCACCTCGCGTACACGATGCTCACTATCACATATGATTACAACAGTACCAAATCCTAAAGGGATTTCCCCTACACAAAGTTAGACAAGTCACTTACGTCAAATCTCGCTCAATCAATCGATAAAGATGTTTTTCCCTCGATTTTTCGACTCCGAATGGCCCAAATCTAGCCAAAAGTAATTACATATCATGAATACAACTACAAGAAACTAATTTAAATAATAAAACTACGACTTAAGCAAAGAATCAAAAAATCGCCCTAAAAAGTCAACCCGGACCCGCGTTACGGAATCGGGTAAAAGTCAGAAATTACGAACACCCATTCGACCACGAATCCAACATACCATTTCTACTCAAATCCGACACCAAATCACCACTTAAATCCTCAATTTATACTCTCCAAATCCCTAGCCTCAAACTCCTAAATTCCACCTTAAACACACACAATTTAGGTGGAAACATCAATGGGAAAATAAGATTATTGATAAAAAATTAAGCACAAGGGACTTACCTCAAGAAATCACCCGAAAAATGCTCTAAAAAATCGCCCTAGACCGAGGTTGCAAAGTCCAAAATGATAAAAATCACGAAACCCTTCGGTTTTAAGCACTGCCCAGGCTTTTCGCACCTGGTGCCAGTTCCACCGCACCTGCGGAACCGCTTTTGCGGTAAATTCCTCTGCTTCTGCGAAAATCACTTAAGTCTCTCAAGGCCCGCACCTGCGGATGCGCTTCTGCGGTACTAATCCAGCTTTTACGGGTGCGTATTTGCGCAAACACGCCCGCTTCTGCGTACAGACCTCCCCACATTCGCCCGCTCCTACGATCAATCTTCCGCACAAGCGACTCCTCTTCTGCGACTTTCACAGTGCACCTCCGATCACTGGCCATCCTCCTAGCCTCCGAATCTGCGACTCCCAGCTCGCTTATGCGAGACCGCACCAGCGGCCAAATCCACCGTAAGTGCGAGGACACCAGAACCAGCCCAGCACCAGAAATCTTCTAAGTCCAAAAATGATTCGTTAACCATCCAAAATCTACTCGAGGCCCTCGGGACCTCAACCAAACATACCAACAAGTCCTAAAAGTTCATACGAACGTAGTCGAGGCTTTAAATCACATCAAACAACGCTAAAAATACGAATTGCACATCGATTCAAGCCTAATGAACTTCAAAGTGCAAACTTCTACATCCGATGTCGAAACCTATCGAACAAAGTCCGATTCACTTTAAATTTTGCACACAAGTCATAATTGACATTAGGGATCTACTCCAACTTCCGGAATTGGAATTCGACCCTGATATCAAAAAGTCCACTACTAGTCAAACTTCCCAAAAATCATCCAATTTTCCAACTTTCGCCAATTGGCGCTAAAATAACCTATGGACCTCTGATCCAACATCCGAATACGCTCCTAAGACCAAAATCAGCCTACGGAGCTATAGGAACTATCAAAACTCTATTCCGGAGTTATTTTTATACAGTTCGAACTACAGTCAATTCTTATGACTTATGCTTCCATTTTAGGGACTATGTGTCCTATTACACTCCGAAATCGAAAACAAATCCTCCCAGCAAGTCATAAAACCCAAAAATGAAATAGAGGGGGCAATAATTAGGGGTTCGGGGCTAATACTCTCAAAACGACCGGCCGCGCCGTTACATACGCCCAAGTCCCAAATCATAATACGGTCCCACCGAGACCATTAAAATACTGATCCGGGTTCGTTTACACAAAACGTCGACCGTAATCAAGTCAAATGAGTTTTAAAATACGATTTTATATTTTCATCAATTTCTCATAAAAACTTTCCGGAAAAAGGACACGGATTGCGCATGCAAATTGAGGAAGGCTAAACGGAGCTATTCGAGGTCTCGGAACACATAAATAAAGGGTAAAATTATAAATAATCTATTGGGTCATCACACATTATTAAAGTAGCACAAATATGCATCTCCTTCGTTAGGGTTAACCAAAATAGATACCCAATTCATATGACACTGATATTTCAGTGAGCTGGACACCACATAATGTGCCAGCTCACCGAGCCAACCTATTTTAGCTATTTTATCTCTTTTACCTATGCTTTTTTAACATAAGCACAACTAAAGGCTGGACCTGAATTAATATAATGGTTATGATAACGTTAGAGGTATTTTTTTTTACCGAAAGTATCAAATAAAGTGAAAGAAAAGAAATATTAGTAATTAGTCCCTCCGATCCAAAGTAACCAGTTTGCTTTACGCACGTTTATTAAGAAAATATTAAATTCTATACAAAAATACCTAATATGACTAAGTTATTCTTAATTGAATATTAATGTGAGGAGTAAAAAAAATTTTTAAGAATATGCACATAAGGTAAAAGAGTAAAAATAAATTAAATTTTTTTTTGATTACATAAATGAATACTTATTTTGGATCAAAATAAAAAAAGTAATTGATCACTTATTGTGAAGCAAAGGAATAACTAGCTAATGACTACTCAATGACCATTTCACCTTTTTCTCCTGGATAACTCTTGGTTCAAACTTCAAAGTTTTAGACTGTCGCCTCCCACCTTGGCAAATGACAGTGCAAATAGTTGCTTTACCATTCGCATTTGCACCAAAAAGTGTAAAATCTCACTTTATTTAAATAGAAATCTGCTCCTGCTGTTTGATTTGATAGGTTATCAGAGTATTCCGAGACGCCGTCTATCTGACTTTGTAATCATGTACCAAAATATGATTCTTTTAGACTCAAAGAATTAAAATATATGAAAAAAATAATTGATGACCATAATATGTATAAACGACCTTTTATAAGGCGATATACCTTAACGGTCGTTTGTCCAATTAAGTGTAACGCCTTTTTTAAGGCGTTATATTTAAACTCAAACGGACGAGAAGATATAGCGTACTCACTAAGGCGCTATAGTATAACGTCTTTGCCTAAGGCACTATACTTACATAAATAATCGTCCCTTCCCCAGCAAAATAGAACGGTCCCAACCAAAAAAAGTCGAGTGGAGCCCACCGATCCCACAAAAAGTGTAGATTCTCGGTCCCACATCGTATCTAAGGCGTTATCTCGTAGCGGTTTGCTTGTTTCAGCTCCAAATCACCAAATTTTTAACTTTTCAAAAACTTTAAATCGAGGTATTTCGACTTATTTTATGTTAAAATTCATGAATAAAAAATGCCTATTAATTATTTTTATTGTGTTCTGTGTTATTTCGTTATTGTTTTGCGATATAATTAATTTGTTATTTTTTATCCGGATTATATTATTAGTGTGCTAAAAATTTAGTAAAATAGAGAAATTGTTATTATTTATTAAAAAAATATTAATTAGTTACTTTTTAATGTGGCATATATTTTTTCGTGATTGTTTTGTGATTAAATTAATTTGTTATTTTTATCCGGTTTAGATTATTTATTTATTAAAAGACTAGTAAAATAAATAAATTATTATTTTAGGAATAATTAATCTTATTTAGATGTTATTGTTGTACATATATGAATATGTGACTTTAGTTTCCTGTAGTAGTATCGTGTGCCCTAATGTAGTGCTCGTATTTGTAATGTAGTGCCCTTTGAGCGTAGTAAAATGTAGTGCACTTTAGCATACTATCTTTGTAGTTATTGAAATTAATCATTTAAGTACCTATTAAACCTAATAATATCTCAAAAAAATTGATAGTTCAAACACAATCTCTCTCCAATTCTAGTCAACAAACGTAAAAAAAAATAACATGAGAAAATAACAATATTTGTCAAACTAAGTATTGCTATATGAATATTTAATAATTAAATCAATAATTAATTATTTAATTTTATTATAGTAAAAAATAAGTGAATAACAAACAAACATATAAAATAATAAACCAACATATAAAATAATAAACAAACATATAAAATAATAGATCTATTGAGTGATAAATTAGGAAACTTTTCTAATCATGAACACAAGAACATTGGATTCCTTGGTACTACTGGGCCTCAAATATCGAGTCTGGAGCCAAAATATAGTTTATTTGGACTCAAACTAAGTATTGTTATATGAATATTTAATAATTAAATCTTGTATAGTTATGAAATATAATTATTTAAATTTATTATAGTCAAAAATAGGTGAGTAACAAACAAACATATAAAATAATAAAGTAACATATAAAATATAAAATTATAATATAGAAAATGTATCAACCTAATTAACAATATAGTAAAAATATCGAATAAATTTTAATATTAAAGATATTACAATATATTTAAAGATGTTAAGCAATAAAAAGAAAAATACTTTAATTAATATTGTTCAATTTACAGTAGTCGTCATGGAGGTTCCGCCTCTGCCTCCCGGGCCTGCCTTGCTAGAGCTACTGTTGCTACTGGCCGAGCATAGGTCTTCGTACATATGGGAGGGGCAATTATTGGCCCAGACGTTCCGTGCTAGAAGAGTAGACGATATGTGGGACTTTCTTAGGGACCACCATCTCCATCCCCATATAGTCAGACGCCTTCAGGATACGGGTTTCTATAGGATTATTGAGATTGGCCAGCTGCAGCTATATTGGTCGTTGATCACGACTTTGATAGAGCGGTGGCGACCGGAGATGCACACATTTTATTTATCCATTGGCGAGGCTACTATTACGTTTCAGGACGTAGAGGTTCTGTATGGGCTGCCGGTTGATGGACATCCTGTAGCTTTACCGCATGATATCAGAGATTATACGGGATTGCAATATCTGGAGATGTTGCAAAGGCTCATCGATTTTCGGCCAGCGAATGAGGCTGCATTGGTTGGGGCTAGTCGTATGCAGTTGACGCCCGTCCGGCTGCATCTGGAGGCGATACATGCGGACATTACGGATGATACACCGGATCTTCATATTAACTAGTACATGAGGTTGTTGATGTTGCTTATGTTTGGAGGGGTATTATTCCCGAACACTTCGGGAAACCTAAACAGCTTGAGATTTCTTCATCATCTTGAGCGGCTAGATGATTTACATAATTACAGCTGGGGAGCAGCTGTCATAATCACTATTCTCTTCCTGACTTTGCACATCTGCCAGATCCCGATTAAATATTTCGTCTTCGGGCAATTGAATAAGGACGGGACCTTCAAGTTGCTCGTTTTCACTACACAACCAACAAAATAATGAGTTACTCAAATTGATCCAAACTTTACGTATAGCTTTATCAGTTCACTTACAAATCATAATATGTTGATATCCCATGATGGACACCTATCCTGTTGGTGATGACTCTCGGATAGACCACCATGATCCAACACACCAAAACTAGGTATATTCCAACTGGGCGTTGGTTCATAACTTGTAAAATTCATATCTGGCCGGTACCCCCTGTGGAATATATGAGTGTTAATGCAAATTCAATACATCAAAAATAAACATCGTAACACAAAGAAAAATTGAAGTTTACCACTCGCCTTATGGATTATAAAAACTAGGGGAGAAATTATTTTCTCGCTCATCATTCGCTTGTAGAGATAAATTTAGATCAGGCCAAACTCTTTTACCTGAAACTTGTTCGGCTAAAATTGCTCCAAAATAATCACCCGATGATTGAGGGATATCCCTACTTTGTGCAACCTCATTATTGCGAACATCTTCAGTCTTGACGTACATTTCCAATATTTTTATCACAAGAAATTCCCGGTATTCATCCGGAGTTCTTAAAAAATCTCTCAGAGTTTCATCGTCTTCGATGTTAAACTCAGCATAGCAAGCAACCCCTTGCGGAGTGACAAAATACATATATCTTCCGGTTACTTTAATATTCACCGAACGTTTGCTCACACTCATTTTTTTATATAACAACAATACTATTGTATCGTACTCCATTGTAAGTGGCAACTTAACATGACACTATAGAGATAAACTATAGCTTACTGAATTATTCGCCACCACAACCTCACCCCTCACCCCAATATAATGAAACCATAATTTTTCGCTCTTCAGACATTATGACAAAATGCAAAATAATTTAACAAAGAAATATTTCAGAAGACTTGAGAATATTTATGAATGGATGTTTACAAAATCTTTAACCTCTTTAAATAAGGCAAATATCAGTCTGGGAAGTATAATTATTTGAGGTATAGCGCCTTAAATATGGGCGCTATACCCAATTGAATTATTGTTATGTCAGTTATTCCCAGAGGAATCATTTGTGAGCCACATAATATATATAGAGATGTAAGTTAGGGCGTTATATATATAACGCCTTAAGAAAGGGTGCTATACTTAACTGGGCAAACGGCCGTTAAGGTATAGCGCCTTATAAAAGGGCGTTATATATATTATGGTCACCAATTTTATTTTTCACATATTTTGATTCTTTGAGTCCAAAAGAACCACATTTTGGTTCCAGACTCATCAAGCAACTAGGTAATAATGTCTTTTCTCTCGTCTATCCCCATAGCCTTGATGTCATCGATACCAAAAGTATTAATGCTACGTAAGATGTGCTTCCTCCTTCCGACATTTATATGGTGTCATTTGATTTGATACGGAAATTTAAGAAAAAATAAATATTTTTAAAATTTATGGTCTAAAATAAATTTTAAATAATTTATGTGACTATATATTTTTTTTATTAAAGGTATAATAAGAACTTTTAAATTAAATTACTTTTAAAATACAAAACGATGATATCTTTTTGAGATAAACTAAAACGGAAAGAATACCTCATAAATTGGGAAGGAAAGAGTAATTATGTATTACAAGATGTATAAAATGAAAAATAGTTAAACACGACATTTCTAAATGTTTGCACCTTTAACAATAATATTGTATTTTATATAACTTATTAGTTTAGAAACTCAAATTCTTTATCTTAATTTAAAGAATCCCGCTAGAGATCGTGGTCACGAACCATTAACCCTAAGCGGTTCCCATTAGCAAGAATCTCGTTCTCTCATTACCCAAATTCCTAATGTGCTGCTTGAGGCTCGGAACAACCTTGCTCCTGCTCGACTATAAATATTCTACTGATACCATTTGTAAAGATCATCAAAAAAGCAATTAGCATTCTCTAGTATTTCAATTGTATTTTTTTTTAGCAGCATCGCCTTATTATCTTCGGGATTGTATTTCATTTCGTCATTGCAGCCTCCTGATGCCTACGTTTAATAAGATCTACTTTACATTTATTGTTATTTTATCTTGTTGATACTTTATAATATTTTGCATACGCTTTGGAGGATGATAATAAAGGTAAATAGTTAGGTAGTTGAGTGTTGTCTTTGTTTATAACAACTACTTTAGTATATTACTTAGTGTCATTCGTTTATTTATGTATTCCTTGATCTCTGTTTTACTTCTTGTTGCTTTTGTTTTAGCTTTCTGATTGCATTACTTAGTATTAGTTTTGTATTTTCGCTTCGGTTTTGCGATTGGTTTGTTTGTTGTTTCCCTTCCTTTTATCTTTTCTAAGCCAAGTTCTACTAGAAACAGTCTCTCCGCCTTATTAAAGATAGATGTAAGGTTTGCGTACACATTACCTTGTAGGATCACACTGCATTTATTGTTGTTGTTGTTCGCTTTGGACTAATCTGATTGCTAGAGATCTTAAAAATATAAATTTAATTGTTTATTCCGAAATCAGTTTTTGGTTAAATATTTTTAATTAAAGTAAACTTACATATATTGAAGAACACGAGATTTTAAAAAGTATTCTTAATATTTTATATAAATTTATGTGTTAAAACAAAAGGCTTTTGTTTTTCTTTCTGGATCTAGTTGAAACTGAATTAGTGAATGTAAAACTTAAAAAGAGTTTTGTTGATGAGCGATGTTACATGCTACTGCCTCCGTATTCTGAATTTGTAATTGCTAAAATCTTGTTAGGGTCGGGAAAAATAATAATCCCGCCCAGGAATAATATCCACGACAAATAATAATAATACAAGAGAGTAACAACGACACCAACTCTTTTAATGGGTAAAATACAATACCCGAGCTGAGCAATATAACCACTATAATATTATAACTTAGTAGTGTCAAGAGACAACTACAATCTTGAAAGAAATAACACTCTTTATTTAAAATAACTCACTACAATATTACTCACACTCACTATTTATCTCACAGACTACAATCTGTGGATTACTCTCTCTAACTTCTATTGCTTCTCTCTTACTTTGGTGTAATTGAAATGAAGAATGGAGGCCTCTATTTATAGTAAGAGATGACATCCAACTACTACAAAGAAGATGGCTTATTGTTGATTTAATCATATAATTTTTTAACAAAGTTAGGCACCTCCCATTTTCTTCAACAAAGTTAGGCACCTCCCATTTTCTTCAACAAAGTTAGGCACCTATCCCATTTTTTCTTCAATAAAGTTGTCAACAAACTTAGACACCTATCCCATTTTTTCTTTAATAAAGTTAGGCACCTCTCATCCCATTTTTCTTTATTTTCTTTTTGTTTTTCTTCAATATGAGCCCCACAAATCTCTCCCTTAATTTGTATTTTTTTTTTCATTCCAAGACTTGATATCTAGTTGAAGGATCTTCCACTTTATTTGCGTCGCCTAAGAGATGAGCAAACGAATTATCTCTATGCGGCCAACAGGTGCATAGACATTTTCATAGTCAATGCCTTGCCTTTGCTTGTAGCCTTTAGCCACAAGTCGTGCCTTGTATCTCTCCATATCTCCATCAGCATTCTTCTTTGCCTTGTATACCACTTTAACTCCAATTGCTCGATGACCCTTGGGAAGTGTTGTTAATTCCCAAGTATTGTTCTTCTCTATTGACTCGATCTCCTCCTGCATGACTTGTCACCACCTTTTATCTTCAATAGCTTCATCAAAGTTCATTGGTTCACTATCAGCAAAGAGACAATATAAAAAATCAAAATTAGTAACTTCTTTTGTGTCCTCATAGAGCTCTTGAATACTCCTTGTCCTTTACGGTTGTTCAATTGAACTTTCTTGAGAAGAGGGAGATGCAACATTTGTTGGAGAAGGAGGTGAAGTTGTATCCTGCACAGGTTCCATGGTCTCTGGTTCTTCTTCATCACCAAAGTATGGAAGAAAATCATATGAAGTTTCTTCCTGAGCTTCCCAGTTCCATGCCAATTCTTCATCAAATTCAACATCGCGACTTACCACCATCTTGCCGCTACTTGGGTTGTATAGCTTGTAGCCTTTTGAACTCGTAGCATAGCCAACAAACACATGCTTGACACTTCGATCGTCAAGCTTCGCTCTCCCTTGATGTGGCACATGAGCATAGGCTATGCTCCCAAAGGTTGTCAAGTGCTTGACACTTGGCTTTCTTCCACTCCATGCTTCTTGAGGGGTTTGATCTCTAACATTCTTTGTTGGAGACCTGTTGTTCAAATAAACTGCATAAGATACAGCTTCTGCCCAAAATTCCTTGGGCATATTTTTAGTTTTTAACATACATCTAGCCATATTAAGAATCGTTCGATTCTTCCTCTGCAACTCCATTTTGTTAGGGTGAATAAGGTACCGTTAGAGGGAGACGAATTCCATGAGATTTACAAAAGTCATTAAATTCTTTTGAAGTGAATTCGCCTCCTCTATCGAACCTTAAAGCTTTTATTTCATAGCCACTTTCTTTTTCTACATGTACTTTAAAAATTTTAAAAGCAGCAAAAGCTTTAGATTTTTTGTTCAAGAAATAAATCCAAGTCTTTCTACTAAAGTCATCAATGAAAAGTAAAAAGTATTTACTTTTATCAAAGGAAGGTGGATTGATTGGTCCACATACATCAGTGTAAACAATATGAAGCGGTTTGGTTGATCTTGACATGGCCTCCTTTGAAAAACTCCTCCTTGCATGTTTTTCAAGAAGACAAGCTTCACACAATTCATTGGGATGGCTTATTGATGGTATCCC